CTGCTGCCGAGGTGCAGCCCGTGACAATCGATCCTCCAACGATTACGTGGATGGTCCCTTGGGCTGGTCTCTCGTCTAGAGGCTGTCTCTGCGGTTGCTCCACCTGTCTGCTGGACTCGGGGGTTTCTTTATTCTGTTCCCCGTGCAGACCTACTTTATTGTTATTATTGCCATGACGTACAAAATTTCTCAAATATCCGCGATGGATGAGCTCTTCTATCTCATTGCGGAGGTTATTACAATTTTTGGTGCTATGATCGTGATCTCTATGGAAACTACAGTACAAGTTCTTGTTCCTAACATTAGGATCGGCCTTGAGCCGAGGTGGTCACTTTACATACGGGGCGTCCTTGATCGCCATGAGGATCTCGACCCGCTTCATGTTGAGGGGTGTAAACACCCTTTCTGCAGCCGGAGCTTGGAAAGACTGAACTGGCTTTGCCCCCCGAGCTTGATCCTTCTTCTTCTTGTAGTCATTAGGAGCCGGGGGTTCCGGTTCCCTTTTTCTTTTTTCGGGGGCGTGCTCGCCCTTCTGGTTGATCTCCTCCTCTGTTCCTATGAACCGATCTGCGAGATCGAGGAACTCAATCACGGTTTTGGGCTGGTTGACGACCACGTGCCATCTGAACTCTTTGTGGGTGATACCTCGTTTGGCCGCCGTAAGCCGAACTGCAGGGTCCAGGTCGGGTATCTGTAGGCAAGCGTCATTAAACCGCTTGACATAGTTCCAAATGGACTCCTCATCTCTCTGGACTATGCTGAGGAGGCTTTCTTGGGTCCTTGGGTATCTCTTGCTAGTGACGAAGTGGGAGATGAAGACCTTCACGAACTGCGCCCAGCTCCTTATCGAGCCCGGCGAGAGGTTTCGGTACGGGCCACTCCTTTGAACGTAGTGGAGAAGGCCATGCACATGCAAGATTCACTCGCCCTGGCCAGATGCATTTGGGACTGGAAGGCGTCGACGTGATCGTTGGGGTCGAAGGACCCATCGGATTTGTCCAATGGTGGGAGCTTGAAGTCCTTGGACATGGGGACCGTGAGGAGATCCAAGGACAGAGGAGAGGGGACCGAAAGAAGTGGTGCATCTCTTACCCCTCCCGAGCTTATTTCTATTTTGCCCTTGAGCTCGGGCAGGTTGTGGACGGTGGTAGTTCGGCGAGCCCGGCGACGTCTTCGCTACTTCTTGGCCGGCTCAGCGTTGGTGTTGCTGGCTTCTGTATTGCTAAGCTCGATGGGCCCGGGGGGAGGCAGGGAAAGCTGCCGGTAGCTGCGGACAGAATGACCTTGTTCCAGGTCATCAGCTAGCACCTCGAACCTGTTCTCCGTGAGCAAAGGCTCGAATTGCGAGTGCTGGGGTGACGCCGGCCTAACCGGCTGGGAAGCTCCCGACCTGACCGCGGGCCGTGTGGCGGGGGTAGGGAGTCTTCCCTTCCTTCCGTGAGATGATGCCGAAGTCTCTCCTCGGCGGGAAGGGAGTTCACTGCGGCACTGAGGCTTAGCTGGCTGCGCCGCCGGATGTCGGGGAGGGAGTGAAGGGAACTATTGCTGGTATTGGTACTAGGATACTTGGTGCAGCACTTGCTGCTGGTGAAATTGGAGTTGTTGGAACTGCTGCATATAGGCCAGCATGGCCCGCATGCACTGCATCAAGTCTTCAAGTTGACCTTTTCCGGCCACCGGAGGGGGAATAGTGGGTTCGGCGGAGGTTGTCCCAACTGCAGGGGGCAACGGGGCATTTATGGGTGCCACCGTTGCAGGCACGTTCAGGCTAGGAACCCCGTCCGCAAAGAGGGGGACGGTGAACTGCCCGATGCAAACGATGGGTAGTTGGAGTTGCTCCTCTGGGGTGTTTCGGCGTTCGGAATTGCTAGAAGAATCCATGGGTGTCGGTGGTGCTGGTGAGTAAAAGAAGGATGTTTCATAGAGATTAAAGGGAGGCCTTTTGAAGCGTTTCCCACATATGGCATCAAATGATGCTGCACGATCTGGGCACTCCTAGCTGGTTGTGACCTGGCTTCTGACTGGAACGAACGACACCTGAGAGGAAGGAGAAGGTGAAGGGTTCCCGGGGAGTTATCCCGGTGGGAACACTTCGATGGCTAAGTTAGAACTTGAGAAAATCTCAAAGAGAGAGTAGAGAGTAAGAGTGCTGAAAGTGCTTAAGCTTCAATACCTTTTCCTTGTGAGAGTTAGAGCTCTTTTATGTTGGAGCCCGGTCATACTTGGCATAACCGCCACCGCCCTAGCCGTTACTGCCAGGGCAGGTGTGGCAGGTGCAGGTTGCTGCTACAGACTGCCATCGCCAGGTACGGGCTCAACAGACGTGTCATGCTTTCTAGAGATGGCAAATAGAACGTCGTCTGGCAGGTTGAACGCCGTCTGGCAAGGGATCAGAGCCTTACCACCGGGTCCGGCGGGTATGGATGTCAAACAGGCCTCCCCACGGCCTACCGAGCTATCGTGTGCCAGACTGCCTGGGGCAGGTTTGTCCCGATACCGAGGTGCCAAGGTGCCTACACTAGGGGCGGTGCTGTCCTGAGGTGCTCCTCCTTCGAGACACTTAGCCAAAAACCGAGGTGCTCCCTCTTTGGGAAGGGGGAGCTCGGGCCCTAGGGGGAACTCGGTGTTAGACAGTTGTATGCCCTTAGCTTCAATCAAAAATATGTACATTATGAATTTATTGTAAATGAATAAAGTACACATTTGATTCATGTTCCTGNTCCTCCTTCGCGACACTTAGCCAAAAATCGGGGTGCTCCTTCCTTGGGAAGGGGGAGTTCGGGTCCCAAGGGGAACTCGGGACCTTCCACACTTGGTGGGAGTCAAAATTGGCCAGGTGTTAGTCCCCGACGAGTGGCCAGCGTTGGACTCGGCATGTCTCTCCCGTCGAGTTGCGGTCGTGCTGTCAGGCTGAGCTATTCATTGGGCCAGGTCACACACACGTGTCCCCGGACCACGAGGTCGGGCCAAATCGCCATTCATCACAAAGTACCATTCGTTCTCTGTCTTATACTCACTTTCACTGTTTCTTCTTAATTCCCCAAATGCCCCAAGTGGATTCAAACTTCTGTATTACTGTCTGTATCCAAAACATCTAATGTCAGCTACAGAGTATCTAAACCTAAATGGATCAATTGGGTCGGTAATTGTTGAGCAAATAAGTTTGAGCTTGGCTATTGCTATTGCAAGAAACAAGAATTATCAACTTGCTGTGATCTCAAGATCCTCCAAATTTATCGGGTGGAGAATCCACTTGGGGAAGTGGAGGCATGGTTGTGATGTATACCTCTGTTTCCAACCTCTACTGGGAACGAGTTGGGGCAAATAACCCATCATACCTAAACTTACACAATCAAATTTTCATGCGCCAATGTTCTGAACATTGCTTTTATTGTCTAGAAGTTGTAGATTTCTTAGAGAGTTCATTCGAGTTAGGTTAAAGAAATGGTTATCAATCTTTGGAAGTGATTCGAGAATATCGTCCCAAGTGTGAGGACAACAATGAAGACGAAGCATGACTCTATTATTTGTTCCATGTAATTGGCACCGGCTTTTCAGCATTAGAATTTTTCTGGTAGATTCGGCGCAGAACCCAATCATCCAATTGGAATAACAACAGAGAGCAAGACATCAGGTTCTACCCAATTTCCGCAACTAAGCCCAGAACCCTTGCTTATCTAGTTGAAAGACCCTTGAATTCTAATTTTAATTGGTTATCAGAGAAAACACTCTAAAACCCAGAGCTTAGATTTTTCTCAACTTCTTTAAATGAGTTGGATTCTGAGAAATCCAATCCCCGTATAACTCATAAGACCTTAATTTTTTGACATTTTGTTTGAGATCCACTAAGAGAAGGGATAGAACACAAAAGTTCTTAATCAAATCAGCTACCTTGGAGGGGGGTTCAGCTTCCCACCAAACTTTTGCCGTTCGGAAGTTGTAGTGGTTGCCGTCGATTGCGACAATGCTACTAAAATCACCGCCACTGCTGCAACTTCCAACAATTGCAGTGAATAATAAGGGTATTTTAGAAATTTTAAAATAATTACCATTCACATGATGTTACATGTGAACATAGTGCGATGGACAATTAATGGCAAGGGAGATTTTAAACAATTATTAGAAAACTTAAAGGTACTTTAAGATAATACATAAACAATAAGGGTAGAGTTAGTCAATTTCACAAACAATAGTGATAGTTTAAGAGGTTTACCCAATTTACAAATGGTTTACAAAAATTGATAAGACCATAAGACGATGCCAGTGGTGAATGGTGATCAATCATACATCATTGGCTTGCTACAAAATGGTTTGAAATGGAGTTTAGGTAAGAATAAAGAAATAAGCAAACTGTTTAGCGTTTACTCACCGGTTGCCGCCACCGTTGGACTAGCTGAAAGTTTGAAACTGATGTTGCTGGTCGTCGCTCGCCGGTGGTCGATAACGGAAGATGAAACCCCCCAAACTCCAAAGGTCGCCAGCACCACTAAAACTTTTTGAGGGAACTGTCGAACTAACGAAGGAGAAGGGGATTTGCATTTTTTTGAAATTGTCTAATGCGCTCATATTCTATAAAAATTTAGGAAATTACTAATTTATCTATGGAAGTTCGGTTTTTTTAGTTAACCGAATTGTTAAATACAATAACCAAAACCGAAACCCAAACTTCTAAGAAACCGATGTTTACAACCGATCCGAAATTGGTTCGATTATTCGGTTTTAACCGAAGTGTGCTCATCCCTATTCCCTACCAATCATCAAACCGCGCGGTAAATAATCCATAAAACAAGGGGCAATTTCTTGACATATCTTTCTTGAAAACCGAAAAGGCAACGGTAAAACAAAAAGGAAAAAGAACAGCGTGTTTCGTACAGGAGGAAACCGCAGTCAGTGCACTGGAACAGTAGAATCCACAGTGGCATAATTCCGTAAATTACACACAAATGAGAGGTAATCTTTTAACTACACGAACCAGGCAGATAGACAGATATATCATCCGCTCCGTCGATCTAGCAACCTTTCGACCAAATTTTTACTTACCATTCTCTCTCTCTCTCTCCTCGCCTCTGCATTTCTCCGTCACTGTTTTAACTTCTTTACACTCCCACCTCCTCCTCCACCTCCGCCAAATTTAGCGAGATCCTCTAAATTTAGCGGCACCCATCCGCTAAATCTAGAGCAGATCTGAAGTCTCGCCACCAGATCCGAAAACCCTAGTCCCCTCGGCCATGGAGGAGGCACTGGAGATGGCGCGCGCCAAGGACACCAAGGAGCGGATGGCGGGCGTCGAACATCTCCACCAACTTCTAGAAGCTTCTAGAAAGAGCTTGTCATCGGCGGAGGTCACTTCGCTTGTCGACTGTTGTATGGATCTCCTGAAAGATAACAACTTTAGGGTCTCTCAGGGTGCTCTGCAAGCCCTAGCTTCTGCTGCTGTGCTCTCTGGAGAGCATTTGAAGCTCCATTTCAATGGGCTTGTCCCGGCTGTCGTGGAAAGGTTGGGAGATGGGAAGCAGCCGGTTCGCGATGCTGCTCGGAGACTGTTGCTTACTCTCATGGAGGTTAAGCTTTGGTGTTTATAATGAATTAATTATGGTTCTGTCTAATCTAATTGATCATTTTAAGTAAAATAAAATCTGTTATGTTGGAACGTTCCATTCGGCTTTGTTTATTAGAAACTGGTCGATTGTTTTTTCTTGTATCTGTCAATATTTTTGTGCAAACTATGTAAATTTTGGAGTTTTTTATGCTTAATTCACTGTACATGAGTCATGGCGATGAAATTGGACAAAACATATTACAGCTGTATTCATGGAGTTGGGTTTTCATTTAGTTGCTTCTGCCATTATTTTCAATTTCGATGTTTTCCTTCGCACTTTCTCTTTGCTTCTTCTAACCCAGTCGGGTCTTGGAATTCCTCTTTTTAAAATACTCGGTCACTTAAGGATGAGTAATCCATCTCAGTTGTTCATCTTTGGTTGGGTCTTTCCATTTGCACCAATTAAAGTTCCGAATTCCTTGGTTTGAAAGGAAAAGGACTGATCATAGAAGTTTAAACGATGATTATAAATCAGACTTCTGTCATTTCCATATCTTGCATTTGATAATCCGTTTATTGGGAAATAGGGCTGTTTTATCATCGAATATGGAACTGAAACTAGTGATGGCTGTATAAAATTACAGGTATCTTCTCCAACAATCATTGTTGAAAGAGCTGGATTGTACGCCTGGACACACAAGAGTTGGAGAGTAAGGGAAGAATTTGCAAGGACTGTCTCATCAGCAGTTGGTCTCTTTGCATCTACTGAGCTGCCCCTGCAGCGAGTTATACTTCCTCCTGTATGTAGATTCTCTGCAACTAAATTTTCCAATGCTATGCACACATGCATTTTCCTATGCTGCATATATATATATTCCTAATATCAGATTTTTGTTCTTGTATTTATTTAGTTTTTTCTGTGCATATAGATTCTTCAGATGCTGAATGACACAAATCCGGGTGTCAGGGAAGCAGCTATATCATGTATTGAGGTGAGTGCAATCCTTTTGCATAATGGTTCTTGAAAATGTGTATTTCTTGAGACTTGATTGCACTTCCTAATTGATTCAATTATATTGCAAGCTAGAGTTGAACTTGGTTTTAAATGTTGCTCTGCAATTGTGTTTGTGACTCATATAATTCTCTTGTTTCTCTCCTCAGTCTCCTTTGGCCTTTAGTTGCTGAAGATGATGTTATCTATATTGCTATTGTGGGAACAACCTATGTCATCATTCATTTGATGCTTATATTGATGAACTATGCAGTCAAATACCTTATTTTATAAATAAAAAATCCTTAAACATATCAAATACCCTACTTATATCCAGTTCACCCTCCTAAGATTCTGGATAACCAAAACCAGCACCGAGTTTAGTATATCTGAATTCAATTCAATAAGATATATCCCATATCTAATTCGGATATTTGATGGATCTATGAAAGATCAATTAGAATTTGAATTTGCCAAGAGAGTCAGATCTCCATAATTGATCCGATCTGATTCAATTAAAAAACCAAGTATTTATCAGTTCAGTTATGATCCACTGGTCATTGGATTTTAAGACAAGATAACAAAAACAGAAAAGGAAGAAATAGATATATACAAGAGCATGGCATTTCAATTCACAAAATACAACCAAGAACAATTGCTTATTCTAAATTTATTTAAGTTGAAAATCAAACAGGGGTTATATTATCTTATTGAGTGGGCAAGAAAATAACACATGGGACAAATATAAAAGTATTTTGTAACACAATGTACAAAACTGCTTGGCGCTTAGGCGAGGTGAGCCTCCAAAGGTGCATTGTCGCTGTCACCTTGACAATTATGCTTCTTACAGTATTCACACACAACATCCTTTTTCTCAGTGGAACCCCTTGGCTTCATCTCAATATTTGCAAAGTGATCGAATAGGGCTTTTGCAATCTGGACCTACCTCCTACTCTCCTCACTACTGACCATAGCATAAGCTTGAGATAGGGTTACCTCATCCTTTGCTAAAATGTTTTGTCTGACAATATCATATTCGGGGTTGAGTCCGTAAGGAACTCAAAGATCTGATTCCTCAAATACTAACTTCCTATGAGTCTTAGCATCTTTAGTGCATCCCCATTTCCCTCTACTGTGGACATAGATCTTAATTGATTGAGACCATGTTAGATAATTGGTTCCATCTAACTTCGTTGTGGTTATTGCCCCTAACAGTACAGACCCTCCTTGGTCAAACCCAGAGTTTGTAGGTTGTTTTGTCTCTCCTTTAATTTATTCCATTGGATAAACAAAAACAAATGAAAATAAAAATAGGTGCTACTAACCAAGAACCACTACCCTAAAGTCAAAACTACTCTTCAATCACCCAAAAGTAGGGTTTCACAGAACCCAACAACATGGGAGAAAGAGAGTCTGGCCGTTCCTACCAGGAACTCTAGAATCCTTTCCAACCTAAATCGATCTCAATGTAGATCAAGAAACTTCTCTTCAATCCCTAAGTGTTGGCGTCAAACTGTCTATAGACCCCTTAATTCATTTTCTCCAGTTAGCTAGGGTTTTTGGGAAAATCTCCAATAACCTGTCTTGGGCGTTATATTCATCTCCAAAAACTTCCCTAAACTTGACTGTAAAAGTTGTCAATCAATCATCCAATCAATTTGCTAATCTAACACCTGCAATAAATTTAAAAATAAACCATAGAAAAGAAAAGGTGGAAGAAGAGAGAGTTCAAAAGGAGAAAGAAGAGAGCTGTCTGTTTTCTCCAGTCCCCTAACACTTTCTATTAAACCTGATTGTAATTCAGGTACAATTGCAAAGGTGCCCTCAGTGGGGAGCTACTCAATGAAGATAATAAAAAGAAAACAAAACTGGCCCATAAACTAAGGTTCACTAACTAAACATAACACATTATTAACAGCACAAATAAAAAAGAAAAGATTAAGGCCCATTCGGCCTTGTCATCTCTACAGTAGATAACCTACAAACGTGTGAAATGCTGTTGGGTACTTGGGTTCTTTTAATTTTTATGGTGTTCTATAACCTAATGAGTTAGATTGGTTTACTGAATCAAGTATTGATGATTGCATTCATAAGATTGATACTTCTAGTGGCAAAATGTTGTTTTTTTTTTTCCTGGAAGGTTTCGGTAATATTGCTTTTATATGGGCACAATTCCAAGTTTGCTTCGGTTGAAGATTTGGTGGTTATTTTCCAAGTGTGTTTATGTTCTAACTGTTGCAAATTTGTTAACTAAATAGATTGCGGCATGTAATTGAATTAATTTTGGCTAAGTTCTGCTATTTCAGGAAATGTATACACAAGCTGGGCCTCAGTTCCGTGATGAATTACAACGTCATAATCTTCCTATATCTATGGTGATCACTGGATTCTTTAACACTCTCATCTTGATTAAATGTAGAGTACTGTGATTTTTCAGTTATGATGCTTATCATAATTTTATGTACTTTAGGGCTATGTTATCTAATAAGAAGTTATATGATTCACTAGTTGGTGTCTTTAATGATTCTCTTTAATATGAAATTATTGTTCTGCAGGTAAAAGATATTAATGCTAGGCTTGCAAGGATTGAACCAAAGGTTCGTTCTTCAGATGGACTTTCAGGTCATTTCACCACTGGGGAGCTGAGGCCTGCTAGTCTTAACCAGAAAAAAAGCAGTCCAAAGACCAAAAGTTCCACACGCGAGATGTCCCTATCTGGAGGTTAGCAGGATTTGACCTTAAATATCATGTTGAATCTGACACCAATCTCCCACTTTCATTAATGTTACTAGGCATGTCAATGGGCCAGGTCAACTTAAAAAGACCTGATCTGGTGCTATCATTTAGGCCTGTTGATGCTTGCATACATTTTTGTTGGTTATGGGTCGCATTTTCTGAGCGCAATCATTAATTGGGTTGTTACTGTCTGTACCCTGACCAAATCATTTGGTTCATAACTGATAATATATGTATATTGTGAATTTATGATATTTCATACTGTATAAATATTTGCTACCTCTATATTTGTACAATAGTTAGTAGGTAAATGTAGGTGGGGTTGAGTCCACTATGTTTATCCAGATATGGCAAGGACTTGGCTGGACAAGGTACCGAATGCAGGCTTTACACTAAAAGTTGAATTATCTGACATGATATGTCTCCCATGTACAGGTATCTGGGCATCATGGCTGACCTGATAAGACTGATTGATAATAGGGTTGGTTCTGGACCTGTTGTTCCCATACCCTATGGTATCTAGATATTGTTGTCAGTTCAGTATCAGGTCTACCCTGATCTTGCTCTGACCAAACCTAACCCATTGACAATCTTAGATTTATGTTATGACTTATGAGAGTTCCTTATTCCTACCATTGTTAAATCTGCCTTAGTTCTCTTTGTTTCCATGTTTTTCTCGATGCCTAGGATTATCTGGAAGTGGAGGATATTGTGTTTGAGATTTTTGTTCTTCATTTCTTCTCTCTTTAATACCCCCTCCCCCAGCAAGCAATATAATGCATGTTACTCTAGGACAAAAAACACATGTATCTTGTTTAATCCTTTACTAGAAACATGATGATATTAAAGACTGGGATGTTGTAAGATTGAACACATGCACCTTCACAGTAATGGACATGAGGGTTTAAATTTTTAATGGGTGGAAATTGGTAGGACTGTCAAAAGTTTCTTGCTGTGAAAGCATGTGCTGTGCACTCACCTTCAATATGCAATGATCCTTCTCTTATTTCTTATTTGTTTACCCATTTATCTTTTATTTCTGTGTGTGAGAAATCTCAGTGGTTACTTCACTATAAGAGATGTTATATTCTTACATTTCAAGATAGTGAAAGGAGTAGAGAAGGTAGATTTGTAAAAAAGAAAAAAAAAACTTTAGGCACTGAAGGGAGTGGGTCCTTGAAAATTTTCTATACATATATGCAAGAATCAAAATATCGCAACGTATCGGCCGATACGTATCATATTGGGGGCTTCCCGATATGCCCCTACAGGGGGTGTTTCAGGGTTTGGCATAGTTCAGGGGGTAAACTGGCCTTAAACTGACCCCTCTGAATCAGTTTCAAAGAAAAAGTAAAAAAAAGCGAGCAAAGATACAGGCTGATATGCCCCTACCTGCGTATCAGCCTGTATCGATATTTTGAACCTTGCATATATGTATATTAATTTTATGTTAATGAATCATATTGAGAGTAAGAAAGAATAACCATCATCATCATCATTATCTAAGCCTTGTCCCAATTATATGGGTTCAGCTATTCTGTTCTTTTTTAATGTCGTATCCATTGTTAAATTGATGTATAACTAAAACTCTAGGGCTATATGTTGTCAGACTCAGACTGGATGAATAACCAGAAAGCTCACTGGGTCACAGTTTTTCTGGTTTAGCTGTCTGTTAGATTGTTTAGCCCATATGTTGTCAGAGTCTGACTAAAATTCCAGGGCTATATGTTGTCAGACTCAGATGGGATGAATAACTAGAAGCTGTCAAAAGGGGCTTTATTTCTCCACTGAAGGGAGGAATTGCCACTTTGAAATTTGGAGAAAATAATACTCCCATGCATCTAGTAATTCTCTTGTACTGATCAGAGATTTTTTTTTTTTTTTTTTTTAAATTCAGAAATGATTACAATACAGAAAAATGGGTGGGGTTTTGAGGAATGAGGACAACTTATTATATCTTTCCTCAGGCCCTGTGGGATCAGGAAACTCTACTAGAGCTGAACTACTGGCTGCTGTACAAGGAATTCAGGTTGCAAGCATTCATAAAAAAAATCAGGTTGCAAGCCAAATGGGTGTCAACAGATTATGTATTGAAGTAGACTCTAAGGTGGTGTTAGGGTGGTTGCAGGATCCAGATTCTGCTATTTGGAAATACAGGGATTTATTAATGAAGGTTAAGTGGCTAACAAGGGATATGACAATCGGAATACAATGGGTGAGCAGGTCAGCCAATGCTATGGCTGATGTCTGGGCTAAACAAGGGATTGTGAGGGAGTTTCTGTTTGTGGATGAGTTGTAATACTTGATTTTTCAGTTCAACTTTCAATTTTTGGTCTCAAGGGTGTGGCTGCATCTCGTGCCCCCCAAGGGAAGCTTGTAACTGCTTTAATCTCTGGTCAATAAAATCTATTCATTTGTCAAAGAAAAAAACTCTGCTTTTAATAAAACTAGAGGAAGGGCATGTTGCAAGTAAAAATAAAAATGTTAAGATGAAAAGAGATTTAGATTTTGAAGTATTTTTACAGTATTTCTTTAAGGCTATGTTTGGGAAATAAGAGTTGTTTGAACAAGTACAGAATTTAAATTTGTCTTAAAAAGGAAAAGGCTTTCCATTTGGGGAATGTAGTCTCGGTTAACCCATGATGTAACAATTAAATAATGAAAAATTAAAAATAGATGGAAATACTAAAAGCTGTAGAAAACAACAGAAAAGTCTCCCTAATATTATACATTGATCATATTATACAAAAGTAAGTGTCATAAATAAATAATAAAATTTTAAAATTAGATAGAAATATAAAAGATCATAGAAGAAATTACAAAAGCTAGACACATCTTTGATATTATTATTGTTATTATAATTATTATTATCTAAATTTGCCATGTACAACGTATACGCACATTTACTAATTTTATTAAGAATACAATAAATATTGAAAAATAATTACTTGTAATAACCAAACCAGAGAGCGCTGCTGGCTAGGTGGTTATCATCATTACAAGTAATTATTTTTTGATATTTATTGTTTTCTTAAACAAAACTAGTAAAGGTGCACATATGTTGCACATGGCAATTTTAGATAGTAATAATTATAATAACAATAATAATATCAAAGATGTGTCTACTTTTTGTAATTTCTTCTATAATCTTTTATATTTTCTATCTAATTTTAAAATTTTATTATTTAATTATGACACTTATTTTTGTATAATATGATCAATGTATAATATCATGGATGTCTCCTAATTTTTGCTTTTAGTATTTCTATCTATTTTTAATTTTTCATTATTTAATTGTTACATCATGGGTTAACCTTGACTACATTATGGAAAACATTTTCCTTTTTAAGACAAATTTAAATTTTGTATTCCATTTCCACCATCAGTAAAAATATTTCTTATTAATAATAATAACTTAAACTAGAGAGCACTGCCAGCTAGGTGGTTTATCTACTTCCCAATCACAGATCTGGAGAACATGGTGGCAAGACACAATGGTAAGATGGAACTGCCATGGAAATTTGCCCAAAATGGAGCAAAAAATGGAGAAAAACTGCAGATCTGGAGCAGTGATTTAAAAGGCGCGCCTAGGCACACAGGCGAGGCGCATTTCAGGGTAGGCGCCTTGCCCAAGTCTTAGGCGCAGCCCTTTCAAAAGGCGCACGCTTGGTGCACCTTGTGCCTCAGCCCAGGCGTGCGCCTTTTGAAAATTTGACGCTTTTTTTCTTTTTTTTAATTTTTTTTTTATGTCTAGCGGCATGGCCTTTGTGCCACGCCCCTATTTGGTAATGTTGTTCATTCATTCATCCTAATAACATATCTTCTTGAAAAGCAATAAAACTATAAAATCATTATTTTTTGTGTGAGAACTAAGAATTTAAGACCTAACGTGGGCTTGTTTTGGCTTGCCTCGAGGGGCGTGGGAAAAAGGCGGCTCGTAGAATCAGGAGTGTAATATGTTTTACATCATATTAGCTACTTGAAGTAATGCAATTGAGAAAAAAAAAGATTGTGGATTTTATATGCTTGAAAATGTTTTATATATTTGATTTTATTTTTAAATTCTCATTTGAATATGCTTTACATGTTATATTTATGTATTTTCATATTAGATAATAGGTTTTTTAAAATATTTATTTTAAAATTAAAGTTTATACTTATTAATATTATGTTTAATTTTTTTTTGAAATTTTGACATTTTTTTTTTGTTTTTTTAAATTTTTGCGCCTTGCTTAAAAAGGCGTGCGCCTCACCTTATGCCTTGCGCCTCAGGCACAAATTGACCCCCGTGCCTTTTTTGTCTTACCTAACTTGAGGGAATTCAATTGTCTTACCTAACTTGAGGGAACTCAAAGGAATAAAAAAACGATGGGAACAGTTTTATCCCAAAAATATGAAATAAAGTGCCTAAAATAAGCAGCCTCTAGATTGCTTTTTTCAAGTACTTATTTTTAAAATAAGCACTTACTCCTTTTTCGCCAAATGAGAATAAGTGCTTATTTGCCACTTATTGTGTGATGCCGCCACTTATTTTAAGTACTTATTCAAATATGTACTTAAAATAAGTGATACCAAACAGGGGTGAAGTCTTGAGGCTCTCTTTTTCAAAGAGAGATTTTCGAGACTCGATCTGGTATGCCGTATTAGGTTAAAATGTTTTTTTTTTTTTTTTCAAATCAAATGCCAAATGTATATATTACTTAATAATTGCATAAAGTATACAAAACATGTATACACATTTTATTATTGGATCGAACCCTTCAAATTCAATCCACTAGGCAAACAGATCACATTTTCTGATCCAATTCATTTCAATAATCGGATAAGGGATATTAAATCTGGTACAATTAGATCAGATTCAAAGTCGAATTGAATCAAGATCCGGTTCATTTGCATCCCTAGTCAGTAGTCCCACTTAACAAGTATTCATTGTGCATATCATTCTATTATTCGGTGCACTAGGTTTTCTTTTTCTCAATGTAAAATCATAGTATATGGATTAGAAAATAGATTTCCATTTACATCATGGTACTGTAAATTGATGTAATGATCTACTTGGTAGCTTTATTATCCTTTTGTTCCCTATGGTTAGCTTTACTTAGTGAACTACTTTAATTGTTTAAGCCAATAAATAATAATCTACTAGAAAATTGAATAATAATTCAATAAGTTAGCACATGGTCCAAGCATTAGTGATCACTGAGCTATTGTTTCAATTGTTTGCATGCCTCATTTGATATGCACTATCATGAATATATCCATGATTTTTTTTTGATGAATAAGAAATGATTTATTAATGATATATCAGAAATGTTACAATATATCCATGTTTTTTTGGGTCATTCGTTTAAGCTGATCATTCAGATATAATTATTTTGACTAATGACTTTGATCTTATATTCTAGTAGAAGGGCTGTCTGCTAGTACTTGTTATTATGTTAGATTTTGGTTTCATGAGAATATTCTTGGGCTTTTAATACTTATATTTGTTATCTGAACTTTGAACTTCTATTAAATGGGCAAGGAATTCTGATTGCTTTCTTCTACAATTAGGATGCTATATGGTGCAGCTGTAAAGCTTACAATGTTTGTTCCATTGTGCTGTACAGGAGAAAGCGATGCCACAGAAAAACCTGTAGACCCTATTAAAGTGTATTCTGAAAAGGAGTTAATCAGAGAGATAGAAAAGATTGCATCTACTCTTGTACCAGAGAAGGATTGGTCTCTCCGTATAGCTGCTATGCAAAGGGTTGAAGGCCTTGTCTTTGGAGGTTTGTGTATTATCATCATGTCTTATCTATTATTTATGATTATAGGAGAAAGTGATGTTAGATTTTGCTTGTTAAAAAATGTTCTATTGGCTTGCTCCTGTATCCTCGACATGGAGCAAGTGGAAATATAGAACTAGAAATCATTATTTGTTGGGAGGCTGCTAATCAAGTCATAAACACTTGTTAGATTTTGCTTGTTAAAAAATGTTCTATTGGCTTGCTCCTGTATCCTCAACATGGAGCAAGTGGAAAATAGAACTAGAAATCATTATTTGTTGGGAGGCTGCTAATCAAGTCATAAACACTTGTGAGATACTCCAAAGAAAGTGGAAGAATTGGTCTCTTTCACCTCATGTGTGTGTCCTATGCTCTAAGAATGGGGAAAGTGCCAACCACCTTTACTGTTCCTACACTTCTCAAGTATGGCAACATTTTTTCTCCTTGATTGGGGAAGTGTGCATTCCACCCTCTGATGTTGAGGACCTCTTTGGGTCAAATGTAATAAGATGCTCAATGCCATGACAGAAAATTTTGTGGCATGTGTGTGAGGGGCAGTTTTATGGGGATTATGGGGGGAAATCAATGCTAGAACTTCAATATAAATAGGTGGAGGAATTGATTGAACTCACAATAATAAAATCTGCACATTGGGCTCTGATTTGTAAAGAATTTAATGGGGTGAATTTCAATGACCTGCTCAGGGTAGGTGGAATATACTTGTTTTGCTGGTTTTCATAGCAGTGTGCCTGAAAGGATGGTGGAGACGTGGAGTGGTTCCACCTTGGGAATCCTGGGGAATCTGGAGTGGGGGGAGTGTTTAGGGATTGTGGTGGTAATTTAATTTTCAGTTATTTGGAGCCAGCTGGGTTGGGGAACACTCTAAGGGCAGAATTGATGGCTTTACTTCAAGGTCTGAAACTGTTATTGCAGCAGTGATTAAGGGATTTAGAAGTGGAAGGGGATTGTTAAACAATCATATTATGGATGAAATCTCAGGACCAAATTCCTTTGCAGTTCAGGCATATGGTAAGGTTGGGTTGTAAGTGCTTTCTGTTTTTATTTTCTTGTGGGCTTCTGTGACTGAAGTTGTTGTAATTACATGCCAGCTGCTGTGAGGGAGGGAGGGGGAGAGATGTAAAGGTACTTTCGAGGTGTTTTGCCATTGGTCCAATGCAATTTAGAGAACGGAAAGAAGGTCTTCATAATATATGTGCCCTTCTAGCCTCACTCAACCATCTGGAGATGTAAAGAAGGCCTTTATAATATATTTGTTTTGAATGCATTTTTAGAGTGTATAAAGTTGAAGGGAATTATAACTTCTCTTTTCCTCTATCATCACTCAACTCAGCCTGGAGCAAGTGGTATATGTGCTGTTCAGTTTGTAACCCTTACTTTGGGGTAAAAGATAGAAGGTGCCATGTGGGATGTGCAACACCCACCTCTATAAGGTCTTAAGATTAGTTTCTTCCTTTTTTCTAATTTTCAGAGGTAGATCATGGGTAATGGTCCTACATTGGGAAATTGGTCATTGGTAGAGCTACTACTTACCCTCCAAAGACACCAGCTGAACTTAGATTCTAATGACATTTGGAAACAGGATAAATCCAACTGCTGCTCTGTCAAATCCTTTGCAAGAAAACGTTATAATTCTACTTCTGTGATTATCCCTCACAAAGTCATTCGGTATCTAAGGATGGAGAGAGGAAGTGAAAAAGTTTTTCAGACAGTGAACAGATGGAAAACTGAACTTGACATCGAAGCGAAGAAACTATTACTTGAGGGTGGTAGAGCCAGAGGTAAGAATATACTAAAGGTAAGAGAAGACAGGAAGGCGTTGATACTGTTGTTTGAAGAAGCAGTTTTATGGTTGAAGGGGTTTATCAATGGGGTACTTCAGTCGTTCAGAATAGTAGGATGGAAGAATATTTTAGAAATGGAGAGAAAGAGATACGAGGTGGAGCTGAAGTGTAACAGGAAAGGATGGTTTATTACCATCACAGAATTTTTTGGGGACAGGAAACAAATGGTGTGCTTACCGGAAGGGAAGCAGACACAAGGATGGGCAACATTTGCAGATGAGCTACAAAAATTCCTTGCCGCAGTTGAAAACCACCTGCATAAGGAGCGTGAGCAGGAACAGAGTGATGGAGTTAGCCCTCCTATTCCTTCGAGCCAGGCCTTTAAGCAGACCTCGGTTTGTTGCGGAAAAGCAATAGCAAGCTCAAATAGGGGGTTGAAGATCTGGTGTGAGGCTGAGCAAGTTGATTGGGAGCGAAGAATGGTGATAACATCCAGCAAGGATATACAGGATTGGCGGAAGCTATTGAAATCTGTGGTGCATAACCTAAAACTAGAAACTGAGGTTGCCTTGAAGCTGTTCTCTAACAGGAAGGCAGTGCTAAAAATTGAAGATGGGGTAAGCAGGGGATTCACAGCATTCGAATGCGAAGAAGGATTGGTTTACATTCAGAACTGGAGGCCGTTGTTTAATGAAATGGTACATACCAGAGGAAGTTTCTCTATAAAATTGGTCGGACTTCCTTTCCACCTTTGGAACGAATCAAACTTGGGAAGCATAGTAAAGATGCTGGGTGGGGCAATGGAGGAAATAAAGCTACAAGATTATCGAGCTGTGGAGGCGAGGATCAAGGGGGTAGAACCTGAATCGCTCCCAAGAACAATTGAAGTATTTGTCGATGAGGTTTGGTATAAAGTATGGCTGGTTTTAGAAGTAGAGATGGAGCTCTGGGGGCAAAGAACCAAGGTGGCAGACAGGTGTTGGCAAGGTAGGACGAAGGGCAGCAGAGGCTTAAAGGGTAAGCTAAAATGTTGCCAATGGAAAACCAACAGTCACGCAATCCTTTAAAAGAAGGTTTTTTGAAAAATTTTAATTTAACTGGAATTTTGGGGGAGCATGATTCCCTTGCTGACGTGGTTAAAAAAAGGGGAGGGCCAGTCAAAGGCTTAGTGCGAGCCGGTTTGTCCGAACCAATTGATGGACTGAATTGGCTAACCAAGAAGTCGAGCCTGTGTCCACGTGACTGTTTAAGTAAGCACGTGGACCAGGATAGGTTGTTTGGGTTGGTAGACGACAATTCTTGTCTATCTTCTTCTTCGAAGAGGTGTTTTGGCGTTGATTCAGTCTCGAATAGGCGGAAGAAGAAAGCCATAGGCTCTCTACAGTGGATTCCACACGTTGCTCTAGAAATAAATGGGGAAGGTCAACCAGCACAGGACCGACCAAATCCCAGGTATGCAAGAGATTGCTCTGAGGAGAAGGAGAATATTGACGAGGGCTGGATAGACTATCAATCGGAAGAACGAGAAATGGAAGAAGACTCTGACGAACTGTCATGCATAGGAAGTGTCGAGTTTGACAAGTTGCCAGTGGTAGCAACTTTTAATCTCGGCTCCCTGTTTACAAAAGTCGCAACTGAAGGAACTTGGTCAGAACGGCCTGTACATCATGAGACTCTCAACAGAACTGAACATGTCGATAAGGTTTGGGGTGACAGTCCTGGCTCATTCCCAGAAGATCCATTACCAAAGCCCTACGACAGACAAGATACATATAAGGAAGTATCCGAGACTTTCCTAGAAGTATAACAGAGATATACCAGTGGGGGACAAACAGGTGGGTGAGGGAAGAGTTCACTGTATAACGAAAGAGACAGGAGGGCAAACACCTCAGACTCGAGCCAAGGAGTTAATTGACTCTCACACACCTTTTCTGGACCTGATAGCTTCTGCTTCCAGTTCCAGTACCCCTTCCTTTTCCCAACAAAACCCAGGTAACTGTGTCCATTCAGCTTTTGCTACTAATGATTGCTCTGTGTCCTGTGTACCAGATACCAATCCCTGTCCAAAGGCTGCAGCATGTTTAGGAGTGGAAAGGGGAATTGGTAGAAGTAGAGGTAGGGAGGGTCAGGAGAGTATGGTTGGAAGTGGAGGGGAAGCGAGGGTGAACAACCCACAAAAGGAAGGGGCGGAAGAGTCTAGTGGAGAAGGAATCGAGAAGGAAGAAGGTAGTGATGGGAACTTAGGTCAAGAGAGAGCAATAAAATGATAGACAAAAGAGAGTTGTCTAGTGAGGATTCAGTGGCAGCTTTTGTACAGAAGTTGGGATGTAAATTGAAGGATCCAAATGATTTGAAAGGGTTCTTACAAAGAAAGAGAGAAGAAGTCAAGTCCAAAAGGAGAAAAATTAGTGAGGCTGAAAGACTGGTGAAGGATGTGGAAGGAGATAAAAGTTTTGGTCTTAGGAAGGAAAGGAGGAAAGGAAACATGAGAGAGTAATTTGTGTAAGGGGTGGAGAATAAAGTCTAATGAGGATCATAAGCTGGAATGTTAGGTTTGGAGGAGTTGATAGGGCAATTTTCAGTTTCCTTGAAATTTAGGCAAGTGGAGGATGGTTTTGAATGGGTGCTAACTAATGTGTATGGGCCGAATG